ATATAGATATAATATTCATAATATATAAAACATTATAATAATATAGAATATAATGATACTATAATATAATACATTATAATATATAAATATATATATTAAAGATATATATTTAAAAGCATAATTGGCAACATTGAAAAGCAAAGTGGGAAAAGGCCTGCATCGAGTATGGTAGCAAAAAAGGGCAAGATGCTCTTAAGCAATAAAAGTCCTCTGCATATCCATTGGGAGAAAGATGAGACTTCCTACTCTCATAAGGAATTAAAGTCTTGGAAACCCACAGAGGCAGTTCTACTCTGTGCTATAGGGTCGAGATGGGTCAGAACCTATTTGATGGCAGTGAGTTTTTGGTTTTGCTAATCTGTTACAGACGAGCTTATTCCACAGCCAGTAGCTTGGGGCATGGGGCAACAGTACTGTTTGTGGTTATGAGAATGTGTTCAGCTTATATGAACTACTTATGGTAGACAAAGGCTTAAATACAGAAGGTGACTAGTGGGTGCTAGGGCCTGGTGGGTGGAGCCCTGTTGGGTTACACGTTAGACTGCTAATGGAAAGGTTAGCAATTTAAAATCACCCGCCACTCCGCAGGAGCAAGACAGGGCTGTCTTCTATTCCCATAAGACTTACAGTCTTAGAAACCTCCAGGTGCAGTTCCACTCTCTCCCATAGGGTTGCTCTATCACTTGTCTCTCAGTTTGTCACACTGCGGTGGCTTCTGTGTTGCTGTGAGGCTGGAAGCGATGCCAACTGGTGTTTCAAATGCCAGCAGGGTCACCCAAAGTGAACAGGTGTCAGCAGAGCTTCCAGCCTAAGCACAGACTATGATGAAAAAGCACTTGGCTCCCACTTTGCAAGAGGTAGCCACTGAGAATCGTATGACAACACAGAAACGATGCTAGATGCAGAAGGCCTAATGGATGGACGCAGAAGGTTGTCAGACGTAGGACCAGAGGCTGGGCGCTGGGGCAGAAGCACTCCAAAGTGACTGAGGAGGAGCTGCCTTCTCAACGCAGAGTCGTAGAGTCAACCGGGTGACGGGGATGGAGTGAAGTCGGGGGGGGGGGGGGGGTCTCTGGCATCTTCATTGCCGATGGGGTACAACGCAAGGCAAAAAGAGACGGCTGCAAACATCGATGAATAATCAGCACTGAGAATGTACACAGCATAAATCTAGGAAAATCGGAAGGATCAAAAATGAAATGGGTGCTCGCTTCGGCAGCACATATACCAAAAATGAAATGAAATGCAAAAAGGTCGATATCCTAGGCATTAGTGAGCGGAAATGGACTGGTATTGTCCATTTGGAATCAGAAAATCCTATGATCCGATCGTATAATCCAGTCATTGCTGTGCTGGGAATAATGCCGTCAAGAGGAATGGCACGGCATTCGTTGCCAAAGAAGACATTGCACAACCCATCTCAAAGACAACGCCATCTATAAAAGGATTACCTCCACCCACCTTCAATCCAGTCAATACAACCTTTATTCGACTTTATGCACCAACCCCAAAAGCTAGTGCTGAAGAAACCGAAGAATTCTAATAACATCTTCCGTCAGAAGTTGAAACATGCAATCAAGATGCAGTGATAATTATTGGAGATTGGAATGCAAAGAGGAAGGAACAGCAGTTGGAAACTATGGTCTTGGTGATGGAAACGAAGCTGGAGATCACATAACTGTGGGGGCTTGGGGGTGGGGGCCACGTGCTCCATCCCTGACTGCAGGAATAGATAGCAATGGGGACTTTTAGCATGTTCGTCCTTCAGACGCGAGTGCTGAAGGATAAAAGGGTGCATGTGTTGTTAGGTATGCAGAACCGGGATATGTAGCCCTGAAAGAAAAGGGGACTGGATTGATGGTTTATAACCCATCCTTTCTATTTAACCTGCTCTACGTCAGGATCCCTGTTAGACTTGTGACTATCTGTATGGTGTGTGTGTGTGTGTGTGTGTGTGTGTGTTTATCTATACAAGAGATGCAGGAGAGGCAACATTATGGAGACAGTGACTGGACTAATGGTTTCTTGGGGGCATGAGAGGATGGGGGAGGTGAGAGGGGAGCCAACAGTCATGGGTACAGGGGCATAATAAGTGTTCTAAAATTGATGGTGAGGCGGCTGTGGCTCTTTTGGTCATGTTTGATTAATCGAATTGTGTATGAGAGGATATATTGAGAGATGAACAATGGGTAAGCATAGTAGTGGAGTGGGAGGGGGAAAAAAGAGAGAAAAGCAGGAAAAATATATATGTAAACATAAGAATGCAGCAAGGAAGCAGATGGACTTTAGGCCTCTACGTAAGTCTTACCTCAGCATAAGAACAGTTTGTTCTAATAATGTGCAATACATGATACTCATATCCCTGACACCATCATTGAAGACAAAATGGGCACATAAGCAAATGCGGTGAAGAAAGCTGATGGTGCCCAGCTATAGTGTCTGGGGTCTTAAAAGGTTGAGGTTAAACAAGTGGTCATCTAGCAGGAAAGCAACAAAGTCCACGTGGAAGAAGCACACCATCCTGGGTGATCACGAGGTGTCGACGGGATCAGGCATCAGAAGACCCCAAACAATCATGCTGATGCAAACAAATGGAGTTGGAGCTCCAAAGCCAACTGGACATCCCCTCACAGAAGGGTCACAAGGAAGGGACAAGGCAGCCAGAGTGCAGTATAATACAGACGAAACACACAACATTCATCTAGTTCTTTAATGCTCCTCCCACCCCACTATCATGGCCCCAGTTCTACCTTGCAAACCTGGCTAGACTGGAGCATGTACACTGGTACAGGTAAGAGCTTTTGACACAAGGAATCCAGGACAGACAACTCCCCCAAGAATAGCAATGGGAGTAGTGATACCATGAGGGTAGGAGGTGGGGAGAGAAGGGGGGAAAGGGGGAAACTGATCACAAGGATCAATGTATAACCACCACCACCACCACCCTCCATGGGGGGGAAGAACGATAAAAATGTGAGTGAAAGGAGACAGCCGATGGTGTAAGATATGAAAACAATAATAATTTATAAATTATCAAGGGTTCACAAGGGTGGAGGGGGAAGGAGGTAAAAAAGAGGAGCTGATACCAAGGGCTCAAGTACAAAGAAAATGTTCTGAAAACGATGATGGTAACATATGTACAAATGTGCTTGATACAATTGACGTATGAGCCCCTGTGGTAGTTATATAATCGTTTGTCAATTTGAGAGGATGCAAAGTGAAGGGGTGGAGTCTAGCCTGTCAATCAGATCATAGCCAATGAGGCCTCTGTGTGGGCATAGCCTTCTGAGGATTCTGGGAACTCCAGTATTCCTCCTTAGAGGCGGGAGACACTCTATCTCTCTGCGCAGTCCCTGCGAGACATCCTAGATGACAAGATACATGGAACTACGCTAGAGCCCTGGGATCCAGAGAAGCCACGTGGAGACCCCTGCCAGCACGGAGATGCTTACAACACCACTGGATCCACAAGACTTCCCCACCCACTAACCTGTGACCTTCCTGCACTCGGCGTCATTGCATGTGCTTCATGAGTCTGAAGAGGACTTTATAGATTGGCATCGGACATATGGACTAATATTGGATTTATGGATTGATCTGGACTGAACTGGAATGTTTTCTCAATGTTCAACTGCTCTTGTATACAAAGCTCTTTCTTATACCCATATGAGTGTCTTCATGAATTTGTTTCTCTAGTCTACCCAGACTAACACAGTCCCCAATACAAGGGCTGTATGAGCGCCCAATAAAAAGATATATATATATATATATATCTTTTTATATATCTATCTATCTATATATATCCACACACACACACATATATATATACATACATATACATACATACACATACATACACACACATACATATACATACACACATATATACATATACACACATACACACATACATGCATCCATCTATCTATCTATCTATCTATCTATTACTCTGTCCTCTAGGGCCAGGATGAGTCGGAATAACTTGATGGCTGTGACTTCCGTTTTCGCTTTATAACTGGTTCAGGCTCCTTCCCCATTCATTCCTCACCTGCCTCACCTGCCCCTGGGCTCTGGGGACTCGAGGGCGAGGGTCCCTGGTAATCTCTGAAAACACCCGGCCCCCACTTCCATCCTTTACTACCCTCCCTACCGCTCAGGGCTCGTCCACCCTGCCCCGTGTCCTCCCCCCACCCCCCCATCCCTTACCATCTCAGCCAGCTTGTGGATGGCGGGGCACAGGGTGTTCACCGTGTTGTGGTACCATCTGTCTGCGCGGCCCAGGAACGCGGCCAGCTCTCCCAGCTCCCGCTGCCTGGAGGCGGAGGACCCCTGGACAGAGCAGCGTGGGACAGACTCCGTTAGCCGCACCACCCCCACCCCCGTTGCCCAGCTGGTGGGCTCCTAGGAGCCATCCGCCTATTTCTGATGTCAGGCCCGCCGGCTCTGAATGTGGGCAACCACACGACCCCCCACTTCCCTTCATGTTTGCACCTCCCAAAGAGGGATGGTTGGTTTCATGCCCCAGGCAAAGCTGCGATAACCCCAACTTTTGCCAAGCACACAGAGAAAGGAGAGCGGGGCGGATGGTCACGCTGACCTGAGCGGAGACTCAGCAGGCTGATGGGAGGAGTGTGCTTTGCACAGTGAAGGGGCAGGCGCACCTTTGTCCCCACCCCCGCCACTGCGGAATGGGCTTCCAGGGCCTGAGTGGGCTATATGTTCTCCGTGTGATTGTGCGTATGTGTCGAATATGTGTGCGATATGGTGTGTGTGTGACATGTGTGAGAGTGAGTGTGGTATGTGTGGATGAGTGTGGAAGTGAGGTGTGTGGGAGTGATGTGTGTAGTATTTGAATCTGGTGTGTGGTATGCCTGTGCAAGAGTCAGAGTGTGGAAGTCAATAGGAAGTGAATATGTAGTATGTGTAAGGCTGTGAGTGTGCAGTGTGTATGTGAGTGTCGGATGTGTGTTATTGAACATATCGTGTGTGTAGGAGTGTGGGGTGACTGTGTATCCGTGTGTATGGATGTAAGTGTGTGGTACTGACTGCATGCGGTGTGTGCATCAGAATGGGGCGTATGGGAGTGAGTTGGGGGGCATTCGTGGTACTGAATGTGTGTGTGTGTATGGTGTGTGTGAGTGAGTGTGGGGAATGCGTGGAGTAAGTGTGTATCAGTGTGTGTATGTGTGTCAAGTGTATGTTATGGATTGCATGTGGTGTGTGTATATCAGTATGGAGTGAGCGTGAGGTATGTGTGATATTTGAATGTGACCAGTGGTGTGTGGGATTGTATGTGTGTGTGTGTGACTGTGTCCCAGGTCAGGACCAGTTCCCCAGCATCCTCTGCTCCTTCCCCTTTAGTGGTGCTCAGGTACCAATTCTGGACCAGTTTGAAGGCGCAAACAGCTGTGGGGCCTGCTGGCCTGTGAGACCAGGACTGCGGGGCGAGTGCCCAGGTTTAAGGAGTCACTTGCAGTGAATCCCATTAAAGCAAAAGGAGAAAGCAGTGGTGGGCAGGCAGAAAGTGTCTCAGGCCACATTCAGGCCAGGCGGTGTGGTGGTAACTTCTGGAAGGGAAGGCTCCACATGGCAGGGGAGGTGACTCTGCTCCCATGTGGGAGCCTCAGGGATGTGAGGCTGAAGGTGTTTCCCCGCCCATCCAGACCCTAACCCTATCTTCTATCCCTCCATCCCTCCTTCCCCGAGGCTCATCCTTGCCCCCTCGGTCACCCACCTCAGGGGCCAGCACGGGGATGTAGTAGAGCTGCAGGCTGAGCCTGGGCGTGAGGCAAAACTTCTGGGTCTCTCGTTTCCTGGCAGTGGGAGGTAAAGCAAAGTGGGTCAGAGCCAGGGCTTTGAACACTCAGCTCCACATCCCAGCTAAGCATTTCTCTTCTCCAGCTGGCATCTCTCTGAGCTTGTGTTTTCTCATCTATAAAACGGGTGCAGTAGATAGAGACACAATCCGTTCAAGGGACGGCTGGACCACACGGGAACACCCATCTCTACCACTCTGAGACCAGAAGGCCCCGCTACCGCGCCCGCCTGCTCTGGAAGGGACCCTAGGAGGGAAAGGTCGCAGAGAGAGTGGGAGAAAATGGTGGAAGGGAACTCAAAAT